TTGAAGTGTTGGGCGGATTAGAAAGTGAAGCGTATCTTGAGTTCAGGACGTTGTTCCGTCAAGGATTTGAAGCTGCGAGAAAACACTGCGATAGAATCATCAGTGAGTGATCTGTTTATATTCATTCTTATTTAAAGTCATATAATCCATTGGTAGCTATTATAGAGCTAATGCAAAAAGGCTCGTACATAGAATGGTTCACTTTAATTATGATTGACAGCTCATTCTTCCTCAGATTCACATCTACCATGTTTTGCGGCCCTAGGAGCGCAAACCGCACAACAGCTGCGCGAGCGGTTTCAACCCGCTTTAACGCAATCATCCGCGGGCGACTACATCGAACGTCTAATCATGTCTTCCCTGGGATCGAACTGGACTAGACTGTACGATTCAGTACGTAGGCTAAAAACGTTTTGTTCAACACGACAGCTCATCATCCGTTCAACAGTATCAATACTATGCACAGTCAATTTTATGATTGTGGAGTCATTGCGTAGATTACATTGCGACGACTGCCCCGAAACTCGGCTGCATACTCTAAAGCCGCTGTCGCTACTCATGCAATGCACGGACATAGGCTAGAAACAGGTCTCGGGAATATAATAAATATAGTGTCAAACAGACGTTGATAATGAATGCTAGCCTCAGAAGAGTTCGTCATATTTCTTTAGGCAGGAATACCACTCGTAGTCTATAAGAAACAATTAGTTGACGACGCAAGTACAAGCGACAGACGGTCTCACCGAAGTTTTCGGTCGGGTTGCACCAACACTTTCCCCTCTTGTGTGAATCACCTTGGGGGCAATGTTGGAAGGGGTCGTGTCGGTATCCGATATCTTCGAAGAAGTGAATTTGATCTTTTCGGGCGAACAAAGCCGCGCCAATGCTGTGGACTGGTGCATCACCCCATCGCTGTTCAAAGATATTTCAGCAAAATCAGCGGCACCAAATGTGGGAAAGATCACCTCGTAGTAAAAGCCACCTTTTTCATCCAAAAAGTTGAAAAATTTGCTGTACGGTTCACTTCTCCAGAAATCGAGGTCACCGATTTCAAAGTTGCTCCAGACTGGTTGGCACGATTAATCAGAGAATAATAGTATCCGCATAAGACTTACAGTGGCAACGATTGTAGGTTTCTCCGCCATCGTCTGACAAGAATCGCATGGCGTTATCTGCAGGCACGAGACCAGGATTCGCATTCAAGAATTCTGGGTTATGCATGGATAAGGTTTAAAAAAAGAGTGCAATGGCTGGACGGGTAAAAATAACCTTTGACAGTATTCCAAAGGGTTGGGATAGTTTCGATATATTCAAACAGCGAGATAGTGAACCCTGCGGCAGACTGAGCTACTCCGATCGATCTGAGCTGACCAGACTGCGTACCGTAAACTTTTCCTTTGTCCTGCATAACCAAGAATGGGTCGTAGTGTATATCACAGAAGAATTTAACGTGTGGTCTGTAAACAACTTTCAATATATTTAGTTAATTGTGGGAAATGTGGGACTAACTCCACACGCCAATAATACTTGTAGTTTTGCAAGAGTTCGTGTCGGAAAAAGAACTGCAGGAGGGTGGTCAGGCGGCGTAAAGTGCTAGTCAGTAGGGAAGCTTACGCCTGAATTGTACCGACACATGTTCCGGTATCTGCAGGCTGCAATAAGCGATATGCCGAGAGATTAACTGCACGGTTTGCACGCACGGCACACTACCACCATAAATGACGTTGTTCTTGACCATGTCTTCTCGAGCGGCTTTCGCCCTCTCCTCGTCTATTGAGTCAGGCTGATACCAGTGGTCTTTGGGAATAAGACCATATGATGTTGGTGAGTCGGTTAGCTCAGATGTGCGCCTGTACATGGTTCACGTCAGCACAAATACCAACAGTCGATGGTGCCTAACCGTTTGAATTCCTCTGAAAATGGTTCTTCGTTAAGGAATACCCAAGGGTAATTGAACTCCTTGTTGAAACGATCCTCCATTTGTTTTATACTGCTGATCACACCAGTAAGGTCTCCATTTCTCGCAAGAACGACAAATGTTGCATTGGCTTTTCTCTTGCTGTCTGATGATGATGTCGCATGGTGAATGTATTCGTCGCTGATGCCCTGCTTATAAGGGGGATTGGGAGGCTTTGACCCAATCTTTTCGGCAATAGATGACAGCGAAGTTGCCTTTCCATAGCCTTGATGTGAGAAACTCAGAATGTAGTGTAAACTGATCTGCAGGACGGTCAGAATAAGCGGTGAATGGGAATGAAGAACGAGACTTGCTATAATTCCTAGCACGAGAAAAACATAACGCCATGGGGTCATCATTTTGAAGAGTGAGTAGGAGGATGATGGTTGTTGTAAAGCTGGCACAATATCACGCCGCAGTCCATACTATGAGGTGGCGATGCAGCTAGGGTTTATTTTTCCGAAAGTAGATTTGTCAAACGTGTGCAAATCCCGTCAACCTCAACAGTATTTTTTCTTTAGCCCGCGTGCATTGTCGTCTCCGCCCATGGCGTCGAGTTCATCGTCGCAAGGCGGTCTAGTTGAACTTGCATCACCATCATTACAACCACAGATCAAGACGCCTTTAATATCCTACCTCGGCCCAGCTGGACACCTTTATAGCCGCTTTTCGCAATGGCGAACATCTATCGGTTTACCAAATCCTGGCACGGTCGAAGGCTTACAGAAAGAAGTCAAGAGTGCGTAGCATACCTTTGCTTCGCGGAATGACACGGACCAAGTCTCACCTATCTTCACCGCAGACACGCTATTGACGAATTTTTTCTTCGATGGGGCAAGGGCAGACTTGAATAAGGCTCTCTCCATGAACCCTGCTTTCCAAGTGACGCATTCGTTCCATCTGGCATCCCAGACCTCTATGCCGTCATATAATTTTGGTGCCGTTTTCGCGAACGCCTCAGTGTGTGATTTCTTTCGCGCGCGGAACTAATGCTGACTCCGGGGCGTTAGTTATTTTTACAAGGAGGCGTCGATCACGATGGAAATCTAAATGCACGCATAAACCAAGGCTGGTCACCAAACAACGTTACCAAGATCCAAGCATCGGTTCGTACTGACTTCCAAAGCTTCGAATTTACTAGTCAAATAACCTATAATCGCGGCAGATTTCCGGTGATCCGCAACACGAAGGATTCCAGATGGAGCATGATTATCAAGGACAAGACTACAGCGTCAATGCGAAAATGCTCAACCCTTCACCTATCGACCTCAGCGGCGTATTTATTGGCAGCTACCTGCAATCCATCACCAAAAATCTTGCAGTCGGAATGGAGACTGTGTACCAAAGGATGCAAAATCAGAGTGGCATTAATACATCTGCCCTCATAAAATACACGAGCACAGAGCGGAACTGGATCGCAACGACTCAACTCCAACCATCTGGTATTTTACAATCGACATATTGGCAAAAGCTTAGCGACAAAGTCGATTTCGCTGCCGATTTCCAGGCTGTTATCAAGCCACAGATGCGAGATGCTATTGCGTCGTTGGGAGTGAAATACGATTTGAGAATGTCGACTGTCAGAGCACAAGTTGACTCCACTGGGAAGGTGTCAGCACTTTTGGAGCAGCGATTCGCACCAACGTTTGCTTTCCTGGTATCTGGCGAGATTGATCACTTTAGGGTACGTTACTTCCCCCCCATAAAGCCGTTTATTACATTTATTTTACCACTTCCTGTGAACAGAACTCGGCGAAAGTTGGGGTGGGTGTTATCATCGAGACGTCAACATTGACACCAGAAGAGATGGGCATGCCGTCACAACCATACCCTCCACCGTACCCGTGAAGCGGCGCATAGATTATATACATAATGGCTATAGAACACTGCAAACCATTCCTCGCAATGCTGTCCCGCTGTATTTTCATCGCCACTAATGTTGTTACGTAAGAGAGCAACCTTTCCAAATGTCAATTACTGCGACAGTCCTTGAACTAGAAGGACTAAGCTGTTCTTTGGGTTCATCGCACGACATCCTACACGATATTAGCCTTACGATCCGCGAAGGCGACATCCTTATTCTTCAAGGCAAAAGTGGTTGCGGGTCACTTCTTCTGAGGCAACATGAGGTATCGTAAACTAATCTAAGTTTTCCACAGGAAAACAACATTATTAAAATGTCTCGCCCACCTTAACGTTTATGATGGAATTATATTGTTCCACGGGCAGTGAGTTTGTCTGCTGGTTTGTAGGCTGGACACAATGCTGACCGGATGATCCACGAGGACACCAAAGTCTTACGGTACTGTTACCACTTAGACGCGAAAATATCGTTCGCTTCATGACTACACAGGCATACCTAACTATCGAACGCGTGTTTTCTATGTGCCCCAGCGTCCATCCCTGTTACCCGGAACACCAAGAGACTTCCTAGACGTAATTTCGAAGTTTGCTGCACAGCAAGCAAGGCGGAAGAGTGAAAGCAAGCTTGTCGAGTTGAGAGTTCCCATTGACATCTCTGAACAATGGGGCGTTACCGAAGACCTCTGGGATCGCAAGTGGGCAGAACTAAGTGGGGGAGAGTCTCAGCGCATTGCGCTTGCAGCTGCCGTCGGAATGAACACTGCTGAAATACTACTACTCGATGGTGCGTCCCCTCCCACTGGTATTGCCGCTCATGCATTTCCGGGCAGCTTAGACCATTTGTCATAGAACCTACATCTGCTCTCGATGCGGAAACGAGCCTTCAGGTGGAAAAGTACCTCACACGCCAAATTGCGGACAGGTCCTCCTCGATGAAGGCCATTGTGTGGATAACCCATTCAGCTGAGCAAGGCGGAAGGGTCGGCACGAGGTTCATTACTGTTGCTGATGGTGGTTGTCGTGAGGCGGATGGACCTTTTGTACCAAATGGGCACTAGCAACCGACATGTTGTTACCTTTGCGCTATCATCAATAAAAAAAGAAACTCTGTAATGTTCGGCATACATCGTACAGCGTACAGCGTCACAAAATAATAAATGTGCGATATGCTCTTCAAAAGTGGTCCTTCCGAGAATCGAACTCGGGACCCTTGCATCGCACAGGCCTAATAAAGGTAACCTCATAAGTACAAAGCTCTACCGATTGAGCTAAAGGACCGCCAACTGTTGGGACCACTTTGAGCCAACATGATGAGCATAGGAATGAGTCAAAAATAGCCCATTAATGTTTGATTTTTGATATGCAAAACTAAACATGACAGGTTGCCCGAGAGTAAATGAAACGAATATTTGAACCAAAGAAAACAGGGAAAGCTAGAGGTATAGAAAATTGAGGGAAAGCAATAAGCAGCTGGGAATTGGAAAGCAAGGCAATAGGGAAAAGTTCGTGATGAAAAGTCGCAGTTGCTCTGGATCCGCAAGATGCAATTCGCCTGGCATGGTATTTAGAAGAAATCGGCTCCTTGAAACGGTCGAAAGTTCTTGTGTCCTCTCGCGGTGTCACGTTGCATCGCCCTCCTGAAACCGACAGAGTCTCGACCGGGTGGTTCGTAAACGTCGGTCCCGTTGTTTATCATAATGTTGGAAACATCTCCGAGGACAGCCTTCGGTCTCGTGGAACGGCTAGTAGCAGGTTTATGTTTTGGCCGCGATATGGTTGGAACTGGTGCGGTAGTGAGAATGGGCCCGGGTGTGGGTGCCACAGTTCCATCTGGTGACGTGGTACAACTTGAAAGCGCATTAATAGTAGCACTAAGTTGGTTGGCAGTTGTTGTAGGACTAGTTGAGGGTCTGGCGTAACGTGATGCTGCGGTGATGTAAGATTCGTTGTTTGGGGATGACGAAACTGAAGGCAGTGATGGCGAGGTGACTGGTGGGAGCACATCTTCGATTGGAGAATCAGGTTTCAAATACGCGATAGAGGAACGCCCGGAATCCAAAAACTCCGGCAAATCAGGCTGCTGTGGGACAGTCTGAGACGAAGCAAGACCCTCGTTGGATTTCTCGCGATAGTCAACAGCGGGGGAATGTTCACGATCAATGACTTTGGGCGGTGCAGAAGTGGCAGATCGGGGGAGAATGGCGTGCCCAGGAAGAAGTGCTCTAGGTGGCATAGTGATTGGCGAGCAACGTAAGTTGGCACAGTCAGCCATCCGCATATCTCCCGGGCCAGTCTGAGGTAGAACTTGCAAGTGGCTAGGCACTTCGGAGGGAGTGAACGCATGGTAGCGCATCGCGTTGTACTCCCTGAAAACCGAAGAACTGAACACGGCCGCTTTCATGTCTGCGCTGGCGTTAGCTTCGAGATCCTCAAGAACGGGAGGTGTTGGCGATATCTTCGCGACGGCGAGCCGCCAGAACTTGGGGATCCAAACGAGAGCCAGGAGGAGCAGCGGGAGCGCAATTCCAACGACGAAAAGCATGATCATGGCTATACGTGCAAATAGCGTCGTGAGTAAAACAAATTTTGAATTTATGCTGCGATTCGTCGGATGACTGGGTGAAGTGAATGAAAGAGCGAACCTGGTACGGTCGTATGGAGAGAAAACGCAAGACCTTGGAGGAAGGACAACGAGGGTGGTGAGCTGGCAGCAGGAATCGAAGGTATAGCAGAGAGAACAGGCATGATCGAAAGCTTGATGACGGATAGAGAGCGGGAGAGCAGTTGAGTCGATGAGAGAGCGAAAGCAAGAGGTCAACAGATATTTGCCAGCCGTACAGCGTATTATAGTATCGTATTGCGGATGTCTGAGATTTATTGGGAATCAGACCAGAGCGGAAGCAATCCGTACTAGAACTCGACTGTCAGCCCGGGTGGCTGGTGTTTCATGCAGCCTGAGGGTGGTATCGGGTGGCACGGGCATATCATTGGAGCTTGAAAAGGTCGTCAATTGATCACAGAGGATCAGAAGACAGGCAGATGCGCACGACGTCAGAGTGAGTAGACTGGATAAACCTCCGGATGGTTGTTTGATACCAAGGATCCTGCCAAATACACGACGTCGTCACAGCGGTCACAAGAAATGTAGAGAAAAAGACATATGTGGATGGAATCATACTGCAATAAGTCAATGCTAAAGCGACCAAAAAATTGTGGGTGAAATACAGAGAACTAGGGTAGAGCGTGCGTCAGCTATCGCCGATCTTCAATACATGGCCGTTTACCACACCACCATCCCCCTTCCCGTCTACCACTATCGCGTCTCTTCCTGGCGATGCCCCTTGATTCTCAACCAGCTTGGTAACCTCGCTGCACAGCTCGACCACTTTCTCCAACTGATCCGACACGGTCTTGACAACCTCATCTGCCCGTCCGGACACCGTATCCTCCACCTGCTTGCGCAGTTTCAGCAGGAGCGGCTGCACCTCCGCACGCACCGCGTCGAGCAGCGCAGGTTTGAGGGTTTCCGCAAGCGCGTGTGGGGAGGATGTGGTCGAGAACGGTGGGGGTACTGTGGTGTAGGGGGGAGGGGGCGGGGGTAGGGACGCGGTGTGGAGTTGGAAAGCGGTGTTGAGTGCGCGCGTTTCGGAGAGGGTGTTTGCGAGTGAGGTTCGCAGTGATTGACGGTCCTCTGCGTCCTTCTGCCGAGCAGCGTTGATCTGCACAATGATGCGGAGTAAATTCAAAGAATGTAGGCGTGAAGAAGTAAAATACGAACCTCAACAATCTGCGCCATCAACTTTGTATTCTCCTCTGTCAATTTTGCGAGGTTATTCCGGGTCGCAGTGCGCTCATTGATGAGCTCTGCGACCTCGTTCGCCAGTTCCTGCACCTCCGAGCCAGCCAAGACGAGCTCCGCCTCCGCCTTCGCCAGCTGTTCCCGCATGGGAGACAAAGAAGCCTCTATAGCCTCAGCATGGTTTGCCTTCATCTTCTCGGCAGCCTCTTCCATGTGCATGTCCAGCTGCTCGGCGACGCGTTCGTACATTTCGGTCTCTTGCTGCGTCAGTAGGTTTTCGAGCTCGGACATGCTGTTCTCGAGCGTGGAAAACCGATCGCGAACGTCCGCTATTTCCGCTGGGTCAACGCGTGCGACGCGGGAGGACGAGGCGCCGTTGTTCGTCCCATCGTCTGGGGATATTCGCCGGCGCTTGACGCCACGGGGTGCATCGGGAGTCTCGTCCACGTCCATGACATCCGTTCGCGCGTGTGGCTGCGAGACAAGATCACGCTTCGTCATGACGGCACGCGCAGCGCGATCCACCTGGAGGACATGCTCTGACAACTGCGTCACCAGTTTGCGCACGTCGTCGAGCTTCTCTGTGAACCCAAGGACGTCGTCCTGGCGCATGATGGGCCAGAAGTCACTCTCGATGAGTTCGTTGACCATTCCGTTGAGCTTGAGTTTGTCGGCGGCGCACTTTGCCTCTGTTTCGGCGATCTGGGCGTCTAACTTATCGCGACTTGCATCGGATCTTTGTTGGAAATGGGCTGAATCGCGAAAGCGGCGCAGACTGCGCACGTCCTCTTCGAGTTGCGCGTGCTCGTTTCGGGTTGTGATGCTCTCGCGCATGAGTCTTGGGGG